TTAGCCAAAAGGCCGAGAAGCGATGCCCCTTTAGGTCCTCCGGACCTAGGGTGGTTGGCTCCTTCCCCATCCTAGATATGGTGGTTGCAATACTGTCGCATCCCATGATGCATCTGGCACTCTATGCGAGGACAGGGAGATATCATTGGCTCAGTCCGAGCACAGATACTCGGCCAAGCTCTTCAGGACACTACAGTGTGTATAGACAGAGATCAAATAGCGTCTACAGGGTACCCAGGCCCTAACAGCTCGGCCATTAACCCATAGGAGGACAGGGAACACGAAAACGAGGCAGACTGGGACCGATAACTAGGCCCTAAGGGGTTTTTAAAGCCCGCCAAGCTCCGTGTAAGTGGCCGCATAAATTTATTTACAGCTACAAAGGAAGACTTCACAGCCTGCTTTGTAGGTCAAGGTTGCCTGAGGAGGGTAATGAAGTAATACGTTACCAGTTGTATCATTGGCGCGCGCGTTTTGAAATAACCTGTGGACCGCGCTAGATACAATAATTACTACAAAACCGGGGACTAGCGCAAACGCAGGTCCCCACTACCAGAAATTATACGCTCGAGTTACCCACATTTGGGGTAATCGCAAGGGTCAACCCAATCGAAGTGCAATGAGAGGGCCTCACCTTGATGGGACTGCCTCCTTGATCACAGTGCCTCCCGCGTCGGGTAAGTTTTTTTGTTTTAGGGCTGGTGAACCCAGCTGAGTGCAATGCTGAGCCACCATTAACACTATAACACACAAAGCCTTAACACTCTCGCCCTAGGGAGGGTGCACCAGCACGCCAACTTCGCCGGGGGAACGAACCCCGCCTCCCCTTACACCAACACATTACAAGACAAAACAACAACAAGGTAAAACCGCACAGAAAGACAAGTTAAAAACGCGGAAGGCACTAACTCTAAGCAATATACAAGCAAAAATCAAAAAAGGCAAAATCACAAGCAAAAATGTACAGGCAAAATAGAAAGCAAAACTACTGACCAGGAAACTTAGCAGGAGTACAAGCAGGCAGGGACTCCTCAGACACAACAACATTCGAAGCCAAAATAGGACTAGCGACGACTCTGGAAAACTTGCGATGAACATATTTAACAAATCTATCAAGTTCAAAAGTACAATAATCAGCAAGAACAGAACGAGTCAGGTAACCAAAATCCATAACTACCGGATCATCCGGCTTAACAGCATCAGGACACACATGAGCGTAGGAGGTCCTGGGGAGGATACCACTGTAAGGACGAATGAGAGCATCCGCCACCTGCTCAGGGGAAAAAACAGAGGGCGGCAGATCGACAAACCTCTTCTTTTTCTGAGGAGGAGGTAATGAACGAGGAACTGGATCAGGCTCGGAAACAGCAGGAACAGACGGCTCAACAGCGGAAAGGGACGGCTGACTCCCACCAAGTGAAGACTGACTGAAATAACTTAAGTCACCAGACTCAAACACCGCAGAGACATCAACGAAAGTCTCAGACAGTGCACGCTTCCGCATACGTGAGGCCAACTCTACCAGAGAAGCGCCATGAACAACTTCCTCATCACCAGAACAGTCACCAGGCTCCGAGGCAGGGGAACAAGCATAATCCGGCTCCTCCTCCTCATCAGCAACGGACATGGGAGGATCAACACCAGAAGCAGGAGCAGGAACAACAGTAGCAGACAGACGGCGAGAAGAACACTCACGCGCCACATGACCAGGCTGACGACATCGACGACACAAACCATTCAACGGACAATCGCGAACACGATGACCAAATTGACGACAGACAGGGCAGGGCTGAGGCTGGCCCTGGTACCACAAGCGAACATCAAAACCAGCGATGCGAACCGATGTCGGTAGATCCTTCAGAAGAGTAACTTTGGCCACACGCGTACCGTTTTTAACACCAGGCAAGCCGGGATGGAACTGAGGCGACAAAGAGTGGACAACTCCATACTGACGGAGGAAAACGCTGACAGACTCATCCGGCACTTCCGCAGGTAGGTCACGGACATAAACCAGACGAGTGCGGGCGTCAACAGGAGCAACACGAAGCTTGGAGCCACGGAAGGAAACACCACTAGCGAGGGCCGCATCACACTGGGCAGATTCCTTGAAAGTAACACGAACGATCCCATTGGGCACGAACTGGATACACTGAACATTAGCAATGTCCAAGGACTTAGCAAGATCAGGCAGGACTTGAGCCGAACCAGTGGAACGATAAATGGTTGCTGGAAAATGCACAGCCAACGTACGCGGGCACTGGACCACAGCAGACATGACAAGTTAAGTCCTGATCCGCGGGGGACCAAACTGGCTGGGCGCCCCACAGAAACAGGAAAAAAACGGACCCACCGAGAGGGCAAGAAACACTAAACAGTGAACTNAAAAAACGGACCCACCGAGAGGGCAAGAAACACTAAACAGTGAACTTTGGCGTTCCCTCCCGGCAGGTACTTAGCACTTGTTCACACAAAAACAACCTAACCTAGCTTCAAAAAACGCCACAAAGGACGGGATACTCTCCTTACGTTCCACAATGAAGTGGCCCGTGTCAGGTAAGTTTTTTATGTTTTAGGGCTAGTGAACCCAGCTGAGTACAATGCTGGGCCACCATTAACAAAAACAACACATACAAACTTGACAGACTTGCCCAAGGAAGGGTGCACCAGCACGCCAAACTCGCCGGGGGACCGAACCCCGCCTCCCCTTACAAAACCACATGACGAGGCAAAAACAACACCAAGACTAGACAGCACAAAGGGACAAGTTAAAAACGCGGGAGAAACCAAAGCCAACACAGATAAAGCCAAACCGGGTGACTCCCCACCAGGCTGATGGCGCACTATCTGATGGAACAAAAGGGCCAGGCAGCAAAGCAGAGAGCCAACAACCAAGTACAAACAAAAGTAAGAAAACTAACACCAAGCAAAAAAGAAAAGCTAAAAAGATAAAATCATAGGAACTAGATCGATAAAACCAGACGACCATCACGGACCGAGCCAACAACACCATTGGCACACCACTGCCTAGCAAAATACCGTTTGCGACGGGAAGACTTAAAACGGCGGAAGAACAAGGGTAAGTGAAACCGGAGACGAGACTTTACCCGCTCCAAGACAGCAACGGCACCCGGACGAACATTACGAAACCGGAAATCATTCCGGGCCACCCAGATGGAGAATTTGCAGACATTAAGAGCGTAAACAAAGAAGCGAGGGACACAAAGGAGCTGGTCCTCCGAGAAACCAAACCGAACATGACGGAGAAGGATAGAACCAAAGGATGGCGAGGAAAGAAAAAGCAGAGAAGACAATCAAGAAAGGACACTATCAGCCAGAGGACAAGAGAAAAACAAATGATCCAAAGTCTCCAACGGATGGCCACAGAAGCAGGCCGTGGGAATGGCATAGCCAAAAGATGACAAACGGTCAGCCGTATACAAGACACCATGTGCCACTTTCCAGGACAGGTCAATAACCTGACGGTCCATGTCAAAGAAAAAAAGCTGACGCCAGGTAGCAGACCAGTATAAAGAACAAAGGTGATAAAAAACTTCACTACACAATGGGGAATGGCCGAACGATCAGACAAGAGCATCAAATAAGCAGACTTAGTCGACAACGAGGTCACCGGCATTACCGTCAAACCACTACCCACACAAAGCGAGCCACGATTGGGTAAGAAGACACCATTGGCAGACCTCCAAGCAGTCAAGAGGGCTAAGTAAAAACCAGGCAGCCCACCAGTTCCAGGGAACTGAAGCGGATTGGACAGAATCTGAACAGGAGAAGCACTAAAGCCCTGATTACACCAAAAAGAGAAAAGAGAGACCCACGAAGCAGGGGAAAGTGAGAGACGCCTCACCCACTGCAGCAGCAAAGCCCAGACCTTCAGCTGGACATTGACAACAGAAAAGCCACCACAAGAGGGCGGCTGAGCAATGACATCGCGTGTGACAAGATCTGGTTTACCATTATAGAAAAACTGGAACACCGAGTGGTTCAGTTCACGCAGAACCCAAGAAGACATGTGAACCACCGATGCAACGTACCAGATCCTCGAAAGGGCCAACGCATTGATCACAAGAGCCTTTCCACAAAAAGACAGAGATCGCTGACGCCACGACAACAACACATTTTGAACAGCAACAATACGAGGGCGCCAGTTATCCTCTTCAGTTGCAAACGGGCCCAGAAAGGCGCCAAGAACCTTAATCTTACCAGAACACCACTCAATAGCCACAGGCACATCGGTCCGACCGTTCCAAGAGCCAAGCCACAAGCCCTTACACTTCGACAGGTTTAATTTCGCTTCAGAGCCCCGCTCATAAAGGTCATAAACATCAAAAGTCGCAGTTATGGCAGCATTAGACACAACCACCACCGAGGTATCGTCAGCATACTGCGAAAGAGGAGGCAGAGAGACTGAAGAACCCGGTAAGATCAGGCCAGAAATATCGGGATGACAACGAATGTTACAAGCCAAGACCTCGGCCACCATAACGTAGAGAAGGGGCGACAGAGGACAGCCCTGACGAACCCCACGCGACAAAGAAAAATAGGAAGACGTGGCCATTGACGTTGACAGCACTCTGCGAGCCTCTATAGAAAAGGTCGATCCAACCAATGAAAGAAGGGCCAAAACCCATCGTTGCCAGAGTGTCACTCATAAAACCCCAGTCTACACGATCAAACGCTTTTTCTTGATCCAGAGAAAGGATTGCACACGGGACTCCCGTCAGGGAAGCGTAATCAACGATATCGCGCAGATAAGCAACGTTCTCTCCAATAAACCGACCAGGAACGCCACACGTTTGGTCCTTATCAACAACTACATGCAAAATCTTTAAGAGGCGGCCAGCAATTGCCCGAGACGCGATCTTGTAGTCCACATTCAGCAAAGAGATTGGCCGCCAGTTTTTAGGGTCCAATCTATCCCCCTTCTTGAACGACAACGAGATCACACCCCTACGCTGAGACTTGGAAAGCCTGTTATTCCTAAAACAAAAGTTAAGGACCCTCACCAGATCAGAACCCAAAACGTCCCAAAACTTGACATAAAATTCCATAGGCAATCCATCATTGCCAGGGGCTTTCCGGTGGGCCATACCTTTGAGAGCCGAAAGGCATTCCTCAACTGACAACTCCCCATCACAAGACGCAGACTGCTCAGCAGACAACCGCGCTGAGACATTGGACAAAAGTTCACGCTGAGCAAGCAGGTCGACCTCATCAGCAGAAAAAAGCGAGGAATAAAAATCTGCAAAACAATCTACAAGATCCTGAGAAGAATTGACAATAGAACCATCAGGCAACCGCAAAGCTGAAACCAGACGATCAGCACTCTGTTTTTTAACAAGACGGAAGAAATAGGAGGAGGAGGATTCACCTTCCTCAACCCAGCGAGTGCGACTACGGATCTGAGCACTACGGGCAGCATCCAAGTCTAACTTGGCTAAATTGGACAAGACTGTCTGGTATGGCCCAAGACAAAACATTGCCCCAGCATCAATGCATTGTTTCAATAAATCAGCAAGACGTGTAAGGAGGTCCCTTTCCATCCGCTTGACAGCTGCACGCCTTTTGCAAAAATCAATAGACAGGCGTCTGACTTCAAGCTTCCCCTCGTCCCACCAGCGGTCCAAAGAAGAAAAACTAAAGATTCTCGTGCGCCAGAAAGACCAAAAACCAGTAATAAGAGACACATACTCAGGGTCATCAAGAACAGACAAATTTAACTTCCAGAGACCAGGCCCAGAGGTAATGGCCTCAGGGACAGAGACAGAGAGATGAACAGCACAGTGATCAGAAAAAGGAAAAGGGAGAATATCACGGGCAGCAACAGACGAAACCCAAGAAAAAGGTACCCCAAAAAGATCAATACGAGAGGAAACAAGGCCATTCCATCTCGACCAGGTGAAACTGTTTGAAGACGGATGCAGGTAGCGCCAAATGTCAAGAACACAACAGGACGAAAAGAGGCGCGAAAGTGCAACTGAGCTCTCACGAGCAGTATCAAAAGGATCCGAACCAACTCGGTCCAAAAGGCGGTCAAAAACAGCGTTAAAATCACCACAGAGTAAAGTAGGGACTGAAGGATCAACACGCACCTCCACGTCCAAAAAGAAAGTGTCCCGAGCAGGGTTCCGATTAGGCGCATAAATACACGCAGCACGAAAGAGCTTAGCCTGAAAAGAGAACTCGCACTGTACAAAACGACCATCAGCATCCGACCATGAACCAACAAGAGACAAACGAGGGCGGTACAAGACCACACAACCACAGGAGTGTACGGAACCCGGGGACACTACACAAAAGAGGCCAGTGGAGGAAAACCACCTCGTGCACTCCTCAACCGACGTGCAATGGACCTCTTGCAAACACACAATGTCAATAGGAGAAGGCAGCGACTGGAGCCACTGCACTACACCCGCACGTTTAGCAGCATCCCGCAACCCGTTAACGTTAATAGTAATTATTGACAGCGCCATCTCATTTGCGGCGTTTGGACAACACACCCCAGTCTTCAGCAGCTTTACGCCAACCTGGAGTAAGGCCAGCAGGGCGGGAGCTAGCAGCTTTACGAACACCAGCACCGGGAGCCTTGGGAATTTTGGAACTAACTGCAACAGGCAATTTTGATGGAGAAGGCCGACCACCCGAAGAAACAGAGAGGCCACACAAGTATAATTACACTTATTTGTGACTTACGCCAAAGATTATAATCTGTGTAGAGTATTTCCAAACACAACGTGTAATCAGTATTTGCGGGTAGTCGGTAAAAATCAATTCCCATCTTATACTTATATTTACTGCTATTTTTCATTATATACATGTAAATTACTTTGTGATTATAATCGTGAAAGTTGCCTTTGTTTGGTGGTAAGTCATCTATCCTATTTATAACAAAACTAACTCCTCCATCTATTTCATCAGTCCATTGAGACCCACTTGACATAAGATAAGCAAACTGGTTATTGTAATGACTTGGTTGAACTGCTGTACTACGAACTAGTTTGTCAACATAATCTTTGGTTGCAGCATCACTATTTTGGAGTGGTTTACCAATATTTATTATTTTATTACCACCACCATTTAGGTCTCCAGTCATAGCAACGCTACCATCTTTTTCCAAGTAATCAGTTAAATCTGGGGCAGCTGTGTTATCATCAACATACTTTTTGGTTGCAGCATCCGTATTTAACGTTGGAGTAGCGAGATCAACTATTTTTTTGTTTCCAAGATTTAGGTTACTAGTCATAGCAACGCTACCATCTTTTTTCAAATAAT